TTCCACTAATCCAAAGAATTTTCTCCCTACGGGACTCGATTCATTCAAGTGTTAAGAAGATACTAGATTTTTTTCAAATTTTTAAAATGTCATTTTATGTTATGAAAAAATTATTTATTTTGATAAACTCTCTTTAGCGGCAGCGCGCTCATGCCGTAACAGCCGCGCGAAACACTATATTTAACGTCAGATAGAGAGATAGAGAGATAGAGTTTCGGGAGTGGGACTTTTTTATCGGAAATTTTCTCCTCTTTAACGAGCTTTTCTCAAAATTGCTTAAATATTATTTTTTGAGTTATTAACGAAAAACTAAATACCATTTTTTTAAAATTTCATTTTGTTAACAACAATTGCAATTTTTTACGAGCACCAAAATCCTTCAAAAATATTTTTCTGAAGTTGATTCCGAATCGAATGAGCTATCGCTCATATTTTTAGGACCTTTATCTCTATTTTTCATGTTTTTGAACTTGTTGATTAGACTATAATGGTATCGGAAGCTTTGGAAAAAATCATGTAACACCAAAACACTATTGAAACCTTGATCATAGGCTGTTAAAATATCAGTCGTTATAGTTGCTGAAGATGTTTCAGAATTTCTTCCAGGTCTGAAGCCACATTGACAATCAGGGAGTAACTTTTTTGAAACGAATTGATCATAAATTTGAGAATGAAGACATTTTTCGAAAATTTCAGATAGAGCTGGAAGTAAGCTTATAATTCTCAAATCTGCAAAACATTTAGGATTTTTTTTGAATAGGTATGCCAACGGAGCTCTTCCATACAACAGGAAACATGATTTTTCAATACAGCAAATAACTATCTATGAAAGGACTGCAATATTTCAGCATTTCCGCCGCCAGCCCAAATTCAAAATCCACATCAAACAGTGACTTTTTCGAGATGCATTGGACGCTCTTTTGTTTCATGTGGATTGGTTCAGAGCCAAATTCTACAATTTTGTTTGTTCACGTTGTTGAATGACCCATAACTTTCTACGTGGATATTAAGAACTTTTGATTTTGAGCTTAACGAATCATTACGTTTCTATAGTTTATGCACCTCTACATTCAATTCACTTTTTCAATATATCGTAGTCAGCTGCTGGGAACGGCGAATTATATCAACAAAAGCTGGTCCTCTCGCCTCCGGAAGAACCAGGCTCCATGATGTCTATAAACATCTGCAAACCCTATGAGCATCCGCGCCGTCGAGTGCCCATCGAAAGTGGGTCGACCACCGACCACTAGACCATACGTGGACAAGAAACAGGTGGAAAGTGAACGAGACTCCGGTGGCTCGATATCGTACCGGAGTTTCATTCAGTGATTTCGACTCGCGACCAGACGGTTAACCCAAGAGACTGCTGGAGATTCGTTCGTACTGCGTGTACGGATTCACCGGTAGCGGCGTTATTGATTCTATAACTTTTTCGAAATCAGAGTGATCGGAGTGGTTCGATATTGTGACTCGAATCGAAAGGGAGGTTTTACGTTATCGACATGGGGTTTTTGAAGGTGAGTTTTATTTTACTGAAAGGGGAGTTTGACGAAATAACTTTTCTCAAGAGAAATAACACTAAATATAATATGAAATTGCTGAAAGTGTGTAAGAAACAACATCGAAAGGGAGGTTTTACGGTATCGACATGGGGTTTTTGAAGGTGAGGTTTATTTTTTTGAAAGGGGAGTTTAACAAAAACTTTTCTTAAGAGAAATAACACTGAATATAATATGAAATTACGGAGAGTGTGCTATGAAACAAAATTTAAAGTAGTGCAAGTGATTATATAAATTCAAAATTCATTGAAAAAATCAATGAATATAATAATATTTCTGAAATATATCTGATGAAATTATTATGAAGATTTTCAAATAATGATGGAATATTTCTCTTCGAAACTATGTATTGTGTTGAGATAATGCCTCAATAAATCAAATTTTTTGTACTTTATCGGATTTTCCATCGAATTACTAATGAGAGTGAACTATTTGATTCAAAAAGTCATTATAGAAATTTGTTAAAATTGAAAAGGTATATTTTTATGAGAGATTAATTCTTGGAAAAAAAATGTATGACCTTCTACTTCCCCATCTTGATACAAAAAAGTAGGAATCTTCCAAAGAAAGGAAGGAAGCAATAAATTTGTTTTCTGAATATACTGACTCGTTTCTCGGTAAGAATCAATAACACTATTTATGATATTAATTACAAATTTTCACAATTTTCCATAAACATTGATTTGACAGTGGTGAAAAATTAATTTCTCGTTGGTTGTTCAATAACAAGCTCTTTCGATAGGAAATTTTATCGGTTCAATAATTTCTGGAAATTCCAGCTTTTTTGATTTTTCCTTCATTTTCTGTATTTAGTACGTTGTAATTTTTGTTAAAGTTGTGGTGGTTTTCCATGCATGCATAGGTTGAATTGATTTTCTTTAGTTCAAAATTTTTTTGTGTTCAGATATTGTGGTCTTGAAATTTCTAGATGTTTTTCTTATATAAACATTTTGGTACGAGACATATTTTAGTTTGTAGACACCTGATTTGTTATTAAACGACCAACAAGAAGTTAATTTCTCCCCACTGTTTTTATGAAAGATGTCATACAATTAGTCGAATCATTAATGGCAATACTTACCTGCTTTGTACCTACTGGCTAGCTATTCTTAAAACAACCGGTTTATCAATCAGTAATCCCTATTCCTTGGGGTCAATGATTTTCATACATTATATTCTGAAGTAGTGTAGAGTGACAGCCTAACTGAGGATGCCACTATGTAGTGAAACGCGTACTGAAAATGAAGTCTATATTATAAAAATTTCTAATTATTATCACGAATAATAGAAATTTGTTAATGAGATACTTGAAAACTCTTGTTTTTCGTACTTGAATTAACTGCGTGAAGAATCGAATCATTGGTGAAAAACGAATGAATACAATTAATCCTCATTGAAGATAATCTTTTCCATTCATAAGAAGAAATAAATACGTTAATAAATTTCTAACCATTCAATAAATATAAATCAATCGTTAGATATAATTGGTCAAAACGGAGTTTGGGATTGAAACTGGAAGTATCTGGAATTATGTTGTAATTAACTTTTTGAACCGGTGTTTGTGTCACTTTACGAGTCAAGGTGAGAGACTCAAGTTATTGAAACATGTTCAGTGTAGAAGATTTAGATATCAATGTGGTGCCCTTCAATGAATAATTCTTTGATACATTCACAAATAACTGTTGGAGAGTCCAGTCCAAACCCTGCTCTCATACTAGAACTGAATCACTCTTGTCAACCTACTTGGTGCCATGAGGAGATACACTATGTATTTGAACGAATTTAACGAAATCTTTTGATGAATTCAGCTTTTCTAAAATATGCAGAAGATGCAATCAAGTTAACCTCTCATTATTTCGGAAACTGCTGATCTCCAGTACGTGGACTGTAGAAAAATAAGATGAATGTTCAAATTTCACGGGCTACATACATTTGAAAAGCATTTTTTTTATTTTTTATGTTGTTACACTTGTCTGAAATAAATGTTTACTTTTTCAGCTGTTTAGCATGTTTAGTTTATTGTTGAGAGGTACAATTTCACCTTATTTTTTGAACAGATAGCGTTCACTTACTCACAAAATGCTTCAATCTTCGGATTTCCTGAGAGAATCAACCCTCTTTCTCCCTTGCCTCTTTTGAAGCATTCAAGGAAAAGAGTTGGATGCGGATACTTTTCACTATACTCAGAAGGTAAACTCTAATTATTATAATACTTCAATCTTTTTCTGAGTGCTCATGTTTCAATATGAATTCAACTGTGCAATCTATCTTCAGAAGCATTGCATATGCATTTTACTGTGCAATTTGTCTTTTGAATCACTGAAGGAAGAGAGTTGGATGCGGATACTTTCCACTATACTTAGAAGGTGACATTCAATTGATACAATACTTCAATCTTTTTCTGATTGCTCATGTTTCAATATGAATTTTACTGTGCAATCTATCTTCAGAAGCATTGCATATACATTTTCCTGTGCAATTTATCTTTTGAATCATTGAAGGAAGAGAGTTGGATGCGGATACTTTTCACTATACTTAGAAGGTGAAATCTAATTGATAAAATACACCAATCTTTTTCTGATTGCTCATATTTCAATATGAATTTTACTGTGCAATTTATCTTCAGAAGCATTGCATATACATTTTACTGTGCAATTTGTCTTTTGAATCACTGAAGGAAGAGAGTTGGATGCGGATACTTTCCACTATACTTAGAAGGTGAAATCTAATTGATACAATACATTAATCTTTTTCTGGTTGCTCATGCTTCAATATGAATTTTACTGTGCAATCCATATTTTGAAGCATTGAAGGAAGATAGTTGGATGCGGATCATTTTCACTATACTCAAAAGGTAAAATCTAATTGATACAATAGTTCTGAAAGCTCATGTTTCGATATAAATTCAACTGTGCAATCTATCCCTGAATTGCTAACTGCTCTCAATACTCATGAGGTGCCCTGACCGTGGCACCTGCCAATAAAACAGTCTTTACACCTCGTTTATCTCCTTCCTAATATCCACAAAGCGTTAAATTTCTAATGATATAATAGTGACGAGTCAGTCTTGAACTCTCCACAAACAGAATTAAGGTCAACAAAATTGAGTTGAATGAAACTGAAAGTGGATGTTTCTATACTGACGAGTTGTCACCTCTTTATGAATAGTAAATTGAAACTTATTCGAAAGAGAAAACTCATGTTTTGCCAAATGTAACAAATACTCATAAAGTCAACCACCCAATGATAGAAAGTTACCAATTTGAATGATTTTACACTTTCCTGACAATAAATTTTTCTGCAATTGAAGAAAGATTCAATAATTGTTGGTAAAGAAGTGATCGCGCTAATTGCCGAGAAAGTATAAAGTCCCTGCTTTCGTTGAAAACAATGAACACCAAGTATAAAGTGATATTTAGTGAAATCTCATGGAATTGTTATTAGGAAACCAAAATTTTTTTAGATTGTTTAATATTCACGGCTTTCATTGGATACATTTAGGATACTACGAAAACAACTATTTCTTCTTGTAAAATAATAAATAGTTAACTGGTTGATTATATCCCAATAAAAATCTTCCTTTCAATAGATTCGGGAAAAAGTACAATACATCAATTACTATAAGGTTGTTTCAAAATTCTGTTCCTTTCATCGAAGATGCTCCCCGAAGTGGTCGACCTACAGTAATCCAGGACAAGGATTTGTGAACACTGGTGGTGCCTGACCCATCACAAACGGTGCTAGGGACGGCGGGATAACTGGGGGTCAGCTCTCATGCGGTTTTTGATGGTTCAAAACGCATAGGAGGAAAGGTCAAAAAGCTCGGAAAGTGGGTGTCCCACGATCTGAATGTTTAACAGTAATTGTCACGTTTCGAGGTATGTTCTTCTGTTTCCACTAATAGAACCTGACTAATAGTCAGGACCAAGCAAAAACGGCGTTCGTTGACTTCATCGACGAGTACACAATTTTTGTGCTGACAAAATCGATAAACTAGTGTTACGTTGGCAAAAGTGTACTGATTCAAATGACGTTAATTTTGAATGAATTGAATAAATATTCACTGAAATATTAATAATAATAAAAATAATAATATACTTTTTAGTCATTAGGAATAAATCTTGTGGACAAAGCTTGTGAAAAATAAATACAAATGTAAACATAGAAATATAAAATGTGAATATAAAAACACCTACAAAAAAGTAAAGTTAGAACATACACTATAGTTCAACGCCGAAATTTTGTATCAACATGGTTGTACTTGTTTAAAAATACTTATATAATGGGCATATAAACATATATACTTATATATAATATTACATGAATAAACGCACCCATTGCACCAGACAATGAAACATTTATATCCAAACAAGAGTATAAACCAAAATCTTATATAACCTAAATTCAAATATGCACATTTTGTCACGATAATGTATCTTTATAGAACTCTTGCAAATTATAATAGGGTCTATCAGCCAAAAACGTTTTTACTTTTATTCTAAACATTTTGTTGGTCAAATTTGCCTGTCTTATATCTGAGGGAAAATGATTAAACAACTTGAACCCATTGTAATAAATAGAATTAATTCTTAAACAAATTTGTTAAAGGAATTGGCAATTTCAACGCGGTGGAACGTGTGCTATAAGAATGACATAAAGCCTCAAATAGGCAGATATTTTTGTAAATAAGGCAAACCGATTCCAAAATGAACAAAGCAATCACTGTTAAAATCTTTTGCTCAACGAATTTGTGTCTGTACGAAACACGAGGTTTAATCTTACGCATATACCTGATAGCTCGTTTCTGCAGTACTAATACAGACAAAAGTGCTGATGCCTACTCCCCAAAACGGTAATCCATAACGCAGGTAGGATTCAACGAGGGCAGTTTTGATTCCCAAATCAAAACCGGTGGTCCGCGGACCACCGGTTGAGAACCACTGGTGTAGAGCAATAGT